AATGGAAGAAATCGGATAATAACCACGCCCACCTCCCATACAAAGGTTATGTTGAAAATCACTAAAAGTGCGTTAACCGATTAACAAAAAACGTCAGAAACACTAAATTTTACGAAAGAAATGAAAATGGGCGTGGCGTCGCCCACTTATGGACCAAAAACCATATCTCAGGAAGTACTCCACCGATTTCAATGAAATTCGGCATATAATATTTTCTTAACACCCTGATGACATGTACCAAATATGGGTGAAATCGGTTCTCAACCACGCCTGAAATCTCGATTATCACTTTATCATGCGAGAGTAAAAAATGTTCGGTGACACCCGAACTTAGCCCTTCCTCACTTGTTTCTTTTCGCTGCCGTCGATGGCAAGCTTCAGTTCCTCTTTTGCTGCTTTGTATTGATCAGCTTCTTGAGTTGCAGCTCCTCTGCGCCTGGATCTCGTGTAGGATCTGCGAAGGCGAAGACATGTCTGTCAGAGTACGTTTTCAGTCCACCAGTAAACTGCTGCTTTATGTTTGCTGTGGGAAACCTTGGGCATTGCTTTTTGACAGGCTTTGTTATATTAAGCATTGTATGCTCAACAGTTTTTCTTGCACTTATGGGGGAGTTGCTAAATGGATTTTGGTTGTCTATTACGGAGATTAATTTCGAAGTATTTAGTTTCGCAATATTCCAAAAAGTCTGTCTGCATTTGGGATGTACGAATGGCGTGACCTTGCAAAGGATAGGGACAACTGACGAAGTGTTGTGTTTTCGGCTCACACCGACGCTGTATTGTAATGCAGAAGAATTCTTATGAGATTACCATATACCGAATTTAATTGCTGTAGACCTTTGGAAAACTAGAAAAACATTTTTCTTGGAGAAATATAAGATTTTACGCACCTTAATAATTCTGCGATTAATTTTGCAGCGTTAATTACGAGAACTGAGCCCACACAAATAAGTTTCACTAATTCCATTGCTCTAAACACCTTACTGCTAATTCATACATTTACATTACACAGTCATACATGCAATTTCATGCGATATTCCCTCAATCATAAAAACTCTGCACGACGGCACAATTACGTTTAGCTAGTTCTTCCAAGGGACAAACTTATTAACTTCCCAGCTTCCAGGCAGCATTCATTTCACACCTGCAAAAGGGTATGGGGTAAGTGTTATTGCCTTCGTCAAAGTTTGTAATCAACTTGTGAGTGTCTTTTCTGCCACTTTTCAACTTTCGCATAACGGCAGCTGCCTCGCTCCGAATCAACGCATGCAGCAGAGAGGGCACACGCATTACCACTTAGCAAGGAGCGTGCGCGCATGTGTGAGCGCGTTGCGTGAACGAAGGTAATTTTAATTTTCAACAGCTTTCCGTAAAACAATGGCATGCAGACGAAATTTGAAAGTCTGGGAAAAGAAGAAGAGGCAGCAGCAACACAAACGAGCTGTAAACCTGAATGCGAGAAAAAAAGGCAAGGAAGCAAACTATTGCCGAAAAACAATGCTTCGAACTGTCACCACAATAACGCCACCTTTTGTGTGGAAAAGTCATAAATTCGGAGAGATCACTTGAATGGCACCGCTGCCAGCGACAAAATATTTCACCACTTCG